ATTATGAAGAGAAAAATGATAGTGAAGAAACCTAGCACAGACCACCTTAACCAAGTGGTCAGAATTACTATCACCAGTTATAGGATACAGCAGCAGCATCTGCCTCCTGATATGATACACTGAGAAGAACACAACTCATTTTCTCACTTTAGCCGCTGCTTCCCCCTCTTAAACATCTCTCACCAGTCTTGTCTCTGGATCAACCCCGTTATTTTCAGAGGAGTGACATGATCCGATTTACACCTTAAAAATATCACTCTGGTAGCAAAAGGAGAATGGTCTGAAAGAGAGGAGAGTGGAATCTGGGGTGCTGACATAGTGTTCACCAAGTCTGATGGGACTGATGCCTGCTCTGTGCCCAGCTTTCCTCTATGGAGATGTGTACCTTATAAGCTAGTTCAAGAGAATTTCAAGTCCCTTGGGTGCCTCTGTCATCCCTCAATCTCCTCTGTGATCTGCTTTGCATCCCCCAGAGTCCTTTGTTGGATCCCCTGGGCTCCTCTTGTCATCATTCCCCCGACTCAGGGTTCTTTCCATCACCCCCAAGTTTCATCTGGTGCCCCTTGCCTCCTGGTTCCCTTTGTTGGCCTCCCTACCCAGCCCTCTCTGACATCCCCGGATTTGAGGCATGGTAGAAGCCCTGACTAACGTGAATTGGGATTGCAGTCGGAGAGTCAGGAGGATGGGGCATATCTGAGTTTTTGAGCAGCCAGTGTGCTTTGTGGCCCTGAACAACCGTAAGAGGTAAACTGCAGTTTGACCTCTTTTCTCTTCCCTCCTTCATACCTTTTTCATTCTTGCCTAAGGTCTCATTATGCCTACCATCCCTGCCCCAGCTACCCTCTCAGTAAACACACTACCAGGTTCTTTATCCTGAGGGATACCCAGTAGTAGAGGTGCCTGACATACCCCTTCTCCTTGTAACCCTCCCCCACAGAGCCATTCAGCCCAGCCACCCACCTCCGATCAAGCCCAACTAGGCTTTGCCTCGGTCTCCCAGCCCTTTCCTGTAAATGCACTCATAGCCAGGAGGGGTGCCATATTAAATCAAGAATGATAGAAACCAGTGGCCACAATTTTCCAGCCAAGATGCAGCATAGGGAGCTGGTTGCTGCTGGCTCCAGGTGAGGGCTTCTGAAGCTAATTGCATATGGCTTTTATTAAGATGATCACTCCTCCACTCCTGCTTTCTTGGGTGGCTTCTTCATAGTGCGTCTCAGCCCAGTGCCCTCTACTAGACCACCTGCCTGTCTTCTGTAGTGGAGCTCTATCAAAGTACGGCCTTGACCTAAGTCCCTGTAGCCTTCCTCCTCATCTCCTCAAAAAGACAGAAAGAATAGTAGCCCACATTTATTGAGCCCTTACCAAGTCCGTTCTCCCATTCACCTCTTCCTCTTTCCCAAGAAGAATATATACAGGCCAAGTATTTTCCTTGTCTAAATTCTTCCATGAGCTAGCTTTTCACAAGCCTGGGCTCATAGCTCATGCCTTAAAAAGTCATTTATTGAAAACTTTCTTTTTAGTACAAAGTCTGTGCTAAGTATTAGGAAAAGAGCATGAAGCATAACCTTCTACCTGGTTTAATCCCAGTGTCCTCTACATTTTTATCCAAAATTCTGATGCATTTTCAGAAGTTTTTCTAAATGGATATTTAGAACTCCAGGCTGGTGGAGAATCAGAGTGTGCTCAGATTTAGGCCATAGGTCAAATCTTTCCCAGGACCATTTAGAAAGCTCTTGAGAAACCAGCCAGATCACAGTGTAAGCTTTCTCCCATGCTCACCCCCATAGAAGTCAAAGACCCTTTCCCCTTGCCCAAGAAAATAACAGGAATTCTAAGACAACCTAAAATCATGACACTGAAGAAGAGTTACAGGAAGTAGAAGAAATGTTTCCCTGGTGAAGACTTAAGGAAGCCACAGTAATGATACCCAAATCAAAGTGGCAGGTAAAGTCCTGTTAGGCTTGGCCTTTAGCAAAGGAAAAACGTGTTCCGTGAGGCCCTACAGATCAATGGATGGAAAGTACCTAGAGGCAGGTACTTCTCTACCACATAAGGAAAACTAACAGGCAGAGATAAGCTATTGTAGAGGTATCCCCAGAACCCTGGTCATGTTGGAACCGTATCCTGCAGACCTTGGTTTCCTAGGGGAAAGAGCATCAGGGGTCACTTCCAGTGCAGTGGGGGCACCCAAGTGGACCTAGCTCCCGGCTTCTGCTTGAGCCAGAGCAACTCTTCTCTTTATCTGTGGAGCTCCATGAAGGTTAAATTAGCTAAAAGAGTTCCAGTACAAAAAAAGGCACTAGGTTAGATAATCAGTTATCAAAATGCAGTGAAGGAGATGGGAAGTAGCATTTATCAAAGGCCTCCCAAGGGACCAGGTACTGTGCTCTCCACCTGAATCTCTCACATACTACTTCTACATACACACTCACTGTGTGTCAGAGATTCTGCCAAATGTTTTGTATACATTATCTCACCTAATCCTCACCAGCATCCCACAAGGGTCCTGCACGGTAGGCACAAGTACCATCCCTGTGTTAGAGATGAAATTAAAATTCAATGAGATGAAATAAATTCCCCAAGGTCAGCTAGTTAGTAGGTAGATGAGATGAGGTTTGAATTCAGGTCTGTCTGGAGAAAAGTTTCTTTTTTGTGCCTTACCACTTGTTCCACTGATGAGCCAAAAGAGGGGCCAAACTTCAGATGGAGGCAACTGTAAGAATTAAATATGACGCTATGTATAAAATGCTAAGTACAGTGCATGGCACACAGCGGCTAGTCCACAAATGGTAATTACCTCATTCAGCTGGCAACATGTATTGACTCCTTCTGTGCTAGGTGCTGGAGCTATAGAGATGAATAAAACATGGCCTTTGTCACTAAGGCCCTCATGGTCAAGAAAGGAAAGATAAACTGGCAGTTAAATAAGTGCTCCAGAGGTCCCAGAACCAGGGGCAGGTACAAGTCTTACAGCAGCCTTCTTAAACATTATGGTATTACAGCTGAGATCACCAGGGCGCTTAGAGGTAGGTGGGAATGGAGGAGACATTTGTGATGAGAGAGCAGTGTGAGCAAAAGGCCCAGAGGCAGGAATACCCATCACTGAGGGGAAATGAAACAGACCCAACAAACCCTCAGGGGCCAGCTTCTAAGCTTCAAGCTCCTTGTGCGGCCCACCTGACTGCAAGCCGGCCAGCTCGATAGCCAGGGCTATACCAGCTAGTCTGTGCCCCTCTCACCATCAGGGCCTTCCAGCCTAGTGGACCCAAGTGCTGAGAGGGGCTGGGTGGTTAGGGAAGAGGAGGAGGCAGATATATGACTGGAGTCGTCAGAGCCAGGTGATGTATGTGGCGCCTGAGGGAGCTGCACAGTGACACTCTGGATTCCAACCGGCAAGCGTCGCTCCACTGGGATCGGCGCCGAATTATTGCTCCATATGAAACCCCAGGACTGATGGGAGCTTTCAGTTACAGACTGATAGCAACAACCAAAATTGGATTGTTTGCTATTTATTTTTTTTTAACTTCTGTCAAGGTCACTACCATAACAGGAAAACACTGCCCAAGTAGCAGGTATTTTTCATCGACTCTGCCTTCAAGAGCAATCTGCAGCCACGACTTTTGTGACAAGGCCTTACCTTGGCAGCTCACTTTTTAGAAAGCCGTCAGTGTTACAGCAATCTTAGGGGAAAGGAGCCTCCTGAAGACTCTATTCCAAGACTTGCTTCCTTCCTCCATCCCCTGGCTTCCACAAGTCCTTTCTCGTGAGACTCACACACTCATTCCTCCCCACCTGGTGTCCAGATAGTCCCATAGCTCCCACCTAGCCCAGTACTGTAGCTTCTTCAAAGTTTCCCATCTCCCAGAAAGCTCCCCCAAAACTGTTCCATACTTTATATATCCTTCCCTTCTCTGTACTCTTACACCACCCAGTGTAGCTGTTAATTCTTCTTTATAGCTATCATCAAATTCATTTTTGCAGACATTCACTAGATGCCTCCTCCACTATGCCAGGTCTTGTGCGAGTAATAGCAGTGAGTAAAAAACAGTGCCTGCCCTCAGGGAACTCATAATTGATTTAGAGTACAGATTAACAAACATGCAACAAACTTATTTGCATGTAGTTTGGGGTTTTGGGAGTTAGTGATGGGTACAGGGCTAGAAATGGGCACGCATGCTTTGGAACCATGAGGAAATGTTCGATTCTGCCTGAGAAATATTTACGTACAGACCCTGCCTCACCTCCCTTGCCCAACTTTGAGCTCCCCGAGGGCAAGGCCTGGCTCTCCTCTCCTCTCCTCTCCTCCTTCACAGCTTGACCAAGCTCAGGAGCCTCTGCCTTTTCTGAAATGGACCAAGACCCAGGTCAATGCATGCCAGGCACTAAGCATCAACTAGAACCTCCCAGGGGGCAGAGTACAGTTCTCCTCCCTGCCCCACCTTTCCATCATGGTGTTCACCTTACTGGGCACTTAGCAATTGCTGAATAATTATGTTTAACAATTGGTTTGAAAACCAAAAATATTTTCAAGAGGATAAGTAGAAAAGGAAAGGAACTTATATTTGTTAAGGACAACTACATGGCAGCCACGATGCTAGGTACATTACATACATCATCATATTTAATCCCTGATTTACAGATAAAACTGAAGTAACTTGCTCCAGGTAAAAAGCACATTTTGTAAGTGATAAAGCTGGGATTCAAACCTAGGTCTTCTGTCAGACTTCAGAGTCAAGGATTAATTTACTAGTAGTACTTATTTTACTAGCAGGGTGAGCCAGGACACCTGGACAGTGGCCACCTGAGCTTACCTGAGCTTACCTGATAGGACAAGGGGGCAAGGAGAAGGACTGGACAGCCAGTGGTCATGAGCCAGAGCTATGCATCCTGACCTCCGGAGAGCCAGACTTGTGTTTTATCCCCTGCGGGGGAATAGAATGAAATCAGGGTCTTACTGCGCCCTGCACTCTTGATCCACCTGTACTCTCTCCCCATAGTTCCAGGAGAAGCAGCGGAAGCGTGAGGCAGAGGAGCGGCGCCGCTTTCCACTGGAGCAGCGGCTGAAGGAACACATCATTGGCCAGGAGAGCGCCATCGCCACAGTGGGTGCAGGTGAGTATGTAAGATACTAGCCAGCGCCAAAAAGGGCAGGGTAGCTCATGGTCTGCTGCAATGACGTGTATATCTTGCTGTTACCATACTGTGAAGAAGTGGCTAATAACACTACTATTTAACATTTGTTGAGTATTGTCTATGTGCTAAGCATCATGATAAGCTCTTTGTGTATGTTATGTAATTTAATCCTTCCAGCAGTCTTGTAAGGTTGGTACCATTAAATTCCCATTTTACAGATGAGGAAGCTGAGACACAGAGCACTTAAATAATTGCTCAAGGCTGCTTCTCCTATGCTTATAATTTAATTCTGACCTTCATCTAGTCCACTGCCCCATGCACCCTCCCCCCTTTTCAGGTGGGGAAACAGATCCAGAAAGGAATAGAAGCTTATTCATCACTAGTAATGTAGCAGCTAAGCCAGAACTAGAACTTCTGTATTCTGCCACTGGCTCAGTTTTAGGGAAAACATCCTGAACAAGTCTTGAGTGCCTTCTTCTTCACCTCAGAAGCTCTTATGTTCCATACTTTGACCCCAGAGTGCCAGGCTAACTGCTGATGTAATCCCTAATCTAATGGCCCTACTGCCCTTGCCAACCCCACTGGAGAAAAATGTAAAACTTGAGTTCTGCTCAAGATGGTGGCCTCACCGTTGTTCGCTAATTCAGGTGCATGACTCCCTGAGGGTGACCTCAGACAGATCTAGCAATGGCAGAGGAACCCATACCTATCTTAGACAAGGTGGTAACCCCCAAGGCAGTGGTTCTCCTTGGGGAGATTAGCATCATCAGCATCCCCTGGGATCTTGTCAGAAATGCAGATCTCAGGCCTCACCCCAGACCTATGGAATAAGAAACCGGAGGGTGAGGCCCAGCAATCCATGTTTTAATAGGCCCTGCGGGCGATTCTGATGCTCAGCTCAATTTTTAATATCTCTGCTCTGCAGTATCTCCCACTCACATGTTGCTTACCTCTTTTCTCTAAGTATCTAGTCCCACCAGATGCAGTCCAGTGACTGCCAAGGACAGCACCAAATTCTGCTCACTGATAAAGGAGACGTCCAGCTAAAATTGTGGTGCCCCTTTGGGATATTCTGGGGTGGAATTGTCAGCCCTAGGAAACCAATTAGAGAAGTAATTGAAAAATGAAGGTGGTCGCCCCTGTGACACACCGAGCCCAGCCTGAACTCCATCATCCTTACATACACCAGTGGGACTCATGTGGCAGTTGTGAGCTTCTCATCAGGGGCCTGACCTCATCAACAGAGCTGCCTCACTAGCTAGAGGTCAGAAGGGTGCCTGCAGGCACATACAGGAGCCAGGGAACGCTTTTTTAAATATACAAGCCCCACTACTCAGGCCCAAACCACACCAAGCTGCCCTTTTGGGTCTAGATACAGACATCTACCCTCAGTCACCATCTTGGAGATGGCAACCCCCCACTTTGCCAAGGTCATGTGTGAAGTGGACAGATGAAGACTTTGGGAGCTCTCAGGGGTTGAACAGAGAAGGAGTAGCCCATGGAAGAGATAGATTACCTGGGCAGAGATCTAAGAAAGCATCTTCTGCTGGAGTCTCCTGTCCATTTGGGCCAAAACCACAGCTGCCATCAAGTGTTCTTCCTCCACTTCTTACATGGTCCTTTTTCAGCAAGCTGTGTGCTCCTCTGACCTCCTGCTTCTAACCAGCTTCTTAAGCCCGTATGATGTGACACTTCCAGAAGTAGGAGTTGGGAGAGGGGGAGGAGGACAATGACATGGAAAGAATTCGACCAGCCTGGGCTCAAATAGCAGGTCAGCATTTAACAAGCTGTATATCTCAGGCTAGTCACTTAGCTTCTTTGAGCATCAGTTTCCTCACCTGTGTACTGGGGAGCTAGATCCAGACTGTCTGACTATAAAGCAGTGGTCCCCAACCTTTTCGGCACCAGGGACTAGAGCTCTTAATGAGAATCTAATGCCTGATGATCTGAGGTGGGGCTGAGGCAGTAAGACTAGAGCTGGGGAGTGGCTGCAAATATAGTTGAAGCTTCAATAGCTTGCCTGCCTCTCACCTCCTGCTGTGTGGCCCAATTTCTAACAGGCCACGGACTGTCCGTGGCCTGGGGGTTGAGGACTCCTGCTATAAAGCACATGTTCTTTCCAGTGTTTGCTAGAAATCACTGAATAAAACCTAGTCCCTGTCCTTAAGATGTTTACCATCTAGGTTGGATACTGTGCTCTTTAGGTCGGGCTCACAACTATTTCCTTCAAGCTGGGGCTGATCTTTAGACCCAGCCCCAGGCTGGCCTCTTCCCCCTACCAATCTCTGCTGCCCCACCCACCTCTCTCCCTTTGCCATTGGCCCAGAGCAGGAGTAGATGGTTCAGCAACCCACCTCTCAGGAGCTGTCAGAATATCTACCCAGAGTGCTTTCTTCTACCCAAAGCTCCATTCTGTCACCTAAATTCTACCTAGATCAGGAAGACCCTGCTCCTTGTCCTGTGGTATGTAGGTTGACCCTGCTGTTGCTCCATTGGCTCCAGAGAAGACAGGCTTTTGGGGCCTGGGCTGTGGAGTTGTTGCATTATCACCTTCATTGGTAAGGTGGTAACTGTGTGCCTGCTTTACTAGAAGCTCTGCAGCTAGAGATCACATTGATAATGGTCTGATAATGTTCAGCTACCTGCCCAGGTAATGCCTGAGGCACTCTCTGGGTCACAGTTTGTAGTAGGCAAGCAGCAGCCAGTGCCTCAGGACCTCAAGACTGAAGCGGATGCAAGAGAAGAAGGCAAATCTAGAGGGTAGGCTGGGCCTCCCTGGGTCCTCCAGGCTAGTTTCAGATGTGTGTTAGGTACTTGGCTGGGTAGAGCCTGGCACCCCAGGGGTACCATGAGGATGGGCAGCCAGAGAAGTGCCGCAGAATGAATTGATTTGATAAATGGCCATTTATTACCCTCTCGAATTGGCTGAAACCAATTTCGGTCACATCAACCCCTGGTAAGTGCTGGGATATTGATTTGTGCAAAGTAATACAGTGAATTTATCAGTGTGATCCCCAGCTGCAGGGCTTCTAGCAAGGCTGGCGCACAGTTACCGCCTTACAAATGGAGGCGATAACGCACCAACCCCACAGCCCAGGCCTCAAGGCCTTTCTGGTCTTCTAGGGTTACTGGAGCCAAAGTAGAGCCAACCTACATACCACAAGCCAGATTCTTGGCATTGGAAGTGAGGCTTTCCTTCGAGAATCTGAAGCTGTTTTTTGTCATGAGGTGGAGGGAGTTGTCTGCCCTGTTGGGCAGACCTCCTAGGAGCTCAGAGCCTCTGTGCCCCACCATCCTCCTCAGAGGATGTACCTATTCAGTACATTCAGCACCAGACTCTGCCCCTCTCCCCCAACCTGCCTACCCACTGTGTTCCTTTCTCAGTAAAGGCATGACCATTCACTGTCTAAATAGAAACTTAGATGTTTCCTTAGCCCTTCCCTCCCCGCTCTCCTTTTTCAGCCCATCAAGTATCAAGTTCTACCATTCTCCCTCTTAAAAGCTTAGGCCCTCAGCATCTCCCATCTGAACCACACGGTAGCCTCCTCACTGGTCTCCCTGCCTCCTTTCCCTTCACTATAATCACTTCCCCCCCACCTGGAGTGAGCTTTGTAAAATGTAAAAATTCCCCTCTTAAAATCCCTGAGTGGCCCTCGCTGCCCTAGCCCAGCACACAAGGCCCAACCCTGCTGCCCCCCGCTTTGTATTTCACTCACCAACGACACCATGACACCACCAGCCACACCAGCTGCTTCTGATTCCCTGCACATGCTGTGTCGATCTCCTGCCCGCATTTGCTGATGCTGCCCTCTGCATGGAATTCCTTTTCTCTAGCCCTTTCTGCACCTCAGCTCTGCCTGTCTCCCCCATTCTAGCTGGCTTTTACTTCGCCTAACTCCATTCAGGAGCAATAGACTGTAGACTTCTGAGGGCAGAGATCATGACTGAATTGTTTTTGTTTTGTTTTTCCAGTTCCTGGCACAGCACTCTGCTCAAAGTAGATGCTTAGTGCAGTTTGCTGAATTAATTTGATATGGCCCCTTGTCTGTCTCTGTGATGTGCTCTGAGTAAAGAAGATGTGCTCTAAGCCTGCTCTCTAGTAGTTTACAAGCATCCAGGGAATGTGACAGTAGCAAAATAGTTCGTTACAACACCCATACTACTTGACTTTTGACCCCTTGGGTGGACAGGCCATTCCCCAGACCTGCTCTGCAAAGCCTCCTCTGGGCAGCAGGTCACCCTGCACATCTGGAAGCTTCCCTGTGTCTCCCTCTCCCTACCACCCATCATGCCTGGTCCCGTTTGACTCTGAAGCCCATGAACTCCCTCAGAGAAGATCTACCACCTCAACCGCACCTCCATGCTGGTGTTAGGCCCAAATCCAGAATCTCGGCATCGGCCATGTGGCACACAGCAGGAGTTCCATCCTATCTTGTGCTTCACTTCCCTCTTCAACTAAGCTTCTCAAGCCCTGTGCCTTTCTGGACCTTCCCTCGGAGTCCTATTTCCAATCTGAGAAATACATTAGATCATTTCTGAATTGTGGAGTGGCAGCGATTAATTTAGAAACTGCTTGTAGTTCCACCTCCACACTTTACCACTTTGGGCGTCTCGCCTGCGCCCTGCTGGTCTCGCTGCCTGAACTGCCCTGCCCTTCCACTGGCCTGCTGAGACATTCAAGACCCAGGCCTTCTCCAGGAAGCCTTCTTTGGCGCTCTACCTGAATAGAGAGCCCTTTCTCTAGGCTTCCCATGGACACTTTTTGTCACTGCGCTTACCACAGAGCATCGATTTGTGTCTTAGGTCAGGAATTAACTCTCATTTAGCCGTTTCCCTAGGGATGGGCACATAAGTGTGTAAAAGGTTATTGAACTCCAGTGAACAAAATCTGAGCCCATCTTGACACTCCACCTCTCCTCAATGCAGATTCTCATCTCAGCCTCTTTCTGGAAGTGTCACTCTTCCCTCCAGTGATGCCTGCTTGCAGTGTGTATGCACACACGCAACGAATGAGCTCAGCAAGAGCTTCTCTTTGCATTTTTAATATATTAACCACTCAATAGCAATAGTTTGCCTTTAGAAAGACTAATCCTAAAGGAGCGAGAACCCAAGGCCCCAGTATTCACTCAGTCAGCAGGCACTTCATGAGCTCTTGCTATACTCCTTGAACCTACAAGCTGTAGACAGGAAATTGCTAATAGACATTCAGGTGACTGTCAATCATGAGAGTCCCTCTGAAGGACTCTCATGGTCCTTCGGAGGGAACAAATATGTTCCAGGTTAGGTTAAAAAAATCTCCCACACTAGATCATTAGAACTTATCAGGAAGGATGAGCCAGCCCACTCAGACTGCCCCAGAATTTTGAGCTAACGGAGGCAAAGGCCTAGGATGGAAAGCGTTGGTAGTTCTTTTCCCCTCACTTTGGTTTTGCCCACACTGGGTTTTTCTTTCTGGAATGTCCCATTATACCTAGGCTGCCTAACATCCTCCGCATCCTTCAGGCACAAAGGTCAGGCAGACACAAATGACTTTTCCCTACTTTTCCAAGTGCTCCCATCTCATTTGGAGCCCACAGTTTTCATAGCAACGTTTACCTAAAAGGCACAAACTATATTTTAGGCTTCTTTGTAGGTGTCCCGGCACCCAGGGCAGAGCTTATTTGCTGAACAAATGAATAAGCCCCTTGGAGAGAGGTTAAAAAGAGAGTGGAAGCCTTATTCACCTAAGGGTAGTAGTAACCACATAGAGCCTAAGAGACTCCTAGGTCCAAGCCTCAGTCGTCTTCTCTGTAAAATGAGAGTTGAAGTATCTGTTCTTTCCCTCTTGTGATTCTAGAAAGACCAAGAATTAATTCATTTAGTCAGCAAGCATTATATACTATTGGGCTATTCCCAAGGGTCCCTCAGGAAATAGAACTCTCAGCACTTGCTCTCTCAGAATACACAGTCAGATTGGGGCACACCCTCTTGCTGGATATGAAGGCACAGGTAGATGAAACCCCTTACACCGCCCCTCTCTGAACCTCAGTCTCCTCTTCTGTAAAATGGAGATAATGCCTACTTCTCAAGATTATTATAAAGATGAATGAGTTATCTATAAAGTACCAAAGCTGATGGCTGCTGCCATTGCTGCCACGATGACTGCCGTTATTTTTACTCTTATTATTCCACTTCTTGCAACTTACAGAATGCTTTTATAACCAATAACTCATTTAATCTTCTTGTGGGGCTGACTTAGCATGTATCATATTCCCATTTTATAGATGAAGAAACCAAGGCTCTAAAGGAATAAGTGTTTTACTCAATCAGCTAGTAAGTGGCAGAGCCAGGGCTCTAAACTAGATCCTGTAACTCCTGCCCTCTCCAGCCTACCACCTCATAGATGAACATGGACCAAAGAATACAGACTCCCAGGAGTAATGGGGCTGATGTGAGGTAGTAGAGTTCATCAAAAAGAGTTGTTACAGGTGAGTTTTAAGATGGTCTGGTAGTAATAGACATGTCTCTGGTAAGGGGAAGAACCCACAAGGAGGCACTGTTACTGGCCCCACATGTGGAGAGGCAGCCAAGCCTGCTTAGAGCTTATAGGGATGAAACCAGCCAGTGAAGGAGACCCTGGCACCATCTCGATAGAGCTCAAAGAGCAGAGCTCAGTCTGAGGCACTGTGTTGAATGGCTGCTTGAGCCAGATAATTTTCCAGGTAAGGCAAGGATATGAGGAGGTACTGCAGCTGGAGCAAGCTGATTCCTTTCCCTCAACTCCTAATTCAGGGTCAAGAGCCAGCCAGAGCTGGGGGTAAAGCCCAGGGTCTTCATTTATTTACCTCTGAACCTTGAGCAGGTTACGTAACTTCTGTGTACATACTTCCTCATCTATAGAGTGGGAATCAAGTTCCCTGCCTGCCTCATAGGTACATAAATCGACTCAAATGAAGTTATGTCTGTGGACATTCTTTAGAGACTACAAAGTGCTAACAGAGTAAGATGCTGCCTTTGCTGGTCCACAGTGAGAGCACTGGTACCTATGGCCACATCCCACATGGGCCCATCCAGGTCTCTGTCTGTCCCAGCCTCTGCCCTGGCTTGACAGGACCCTCAAGGATCCCAGCCTTGGTCCTCAGCCACTCTGCCAACCACAACCCCTGGGGTCCGCCTTCCCCAGTCCTTCCTAGCTGCTTCTATTTTTCATTCTGTCGGACTCCATCTGCTTGGCTGTTTCTCTCTTCAGATATTATTAGAAATATCCAGAGCTGTAATTGTTTAATGGTTGGCTTTCACCTGTTTCACAGGGGCCCTAGATCAAGCCCACCCCAGACTCATGCCCTGGGTCTGGCAGAATTGACCAGGGACAGCTGTGCAGTAGGGTCTGCCTGGCATTATAAAGAGCTCTCTCCCAGGTACATTATTAGAAAAGAAAGGTGGAAAAGATGGCCCCAGGAATAATCCAATTCCACATTCTCCATGTGTGTTTGAACTGCATCGCCTAGCAGTGTGCAGCTCTCAGTGGGCTGGGAAGCTTTCCTGAAAGAGAAGTCCAGATCAGAACCTCAGGTACATGACACCTGGGGAACTTCCCTCCAGGCCACCTAAGAGATACCGGGTCACTTCTGCCTCCCCAGATATCCCAGATACCTCAATTCAGTCAACTTTTGAAATAATTTGACTCCTTTCAGATGATCCCTCTCTCACCACCACCCCAGTATACATCTACATGTAGTGTTCTCAAAAGTCTAGCCTTTGCCATTTTATAATTAATATTTCCACCCCCCAGCTACCCCTCCCCTGGGTTCTTGTTTCTCTCAGAACACTAGGGACTTCCTCTCAGCCAGACCTGGACTTCTCCCCTTCATTCCCAGGCTTCAGGTACCTGTAAGGCCTATGGGTTCTCTACAGAGCCAGGCCTTCCAGAGGACTGGGCCAGTTAGTTTAGAGACGCCTGGGACCTAGCCCAGGGGAGAAGTTGGACTGAGTGTTTTCTCAGGCCCCTCTCAGTATTCTCTGGGAGCATCTCCCAGGCAAGCATAGTGTCTAGTCTGATGTTCATGAGGTGGCGCAGTTTCCATCTGTTTCTGTAATGCCAGAACTAGAAAGTACTTACGGTAGCCATAATAGAGATCGAGGTGAGAAAGACCACGGCATGGACCTGAACTCTTAGGACAGGTGTTCAAGACCTTCATAATCTGATCCCACCCACCACTGCTTATGTTCATTCTTATCTCTCACTTCTGTCATACTGGCCACCTTTACCTCTTCAGATCCTGCCCAGGCTCCATGATCCATCATCAGTCCCTCTTCTTCCAAAAAGCCTTCCTTGACCTCTGCAGCCTCTTCTTTGAAACCCAACCACATAGATTGTACTACACAGTATAACATTTAGGATCTTCTCACCTCAGTACTGGCAGACATTGTTTTCTGACATATATCCCTTTGCTAATCTTCCCCTAACATTCTGGGGACCAGACCATACATGCTATTCCATCTGCAAACCGACCTTGACATTGAACAGCACTCTGTCCTTCTCCTGCTTCTGACTGCCAGGTTACCATTAATGCAACCCAAATCAATACTTACTTTTTTTAAGCAGCCATATGTGACAGAAAAAGAAGACTGGTTTAGAGGGAAAGCGACGCTACCATCTCTACCAGTCAACTAGTAATCTAGTATGTGACTTCAAGTCTGTTTATCTCTTGCCTCAGTTTCCTGTTCAGTATAATGGAGCTGAGAATAGTGCTTTCCTCTCAGGGTTTTTGTATAGGTCTTAAGTAATAAAATGGTAGTGATTTTTCCAACTGTGTCTAGCAGATAGCATGTTCAATAAATGGTTCATCTTCTGATGGTTCTGCCTCATTCTGCCTCCTGCTGTTATACTTGAGTGATGCTTCTGAGTCTGATTCTTCCACTCTGTAGTTGGGCATGTAATTTCTTCACTTCGAATGCACAGCCTTTGATTAGGTACTTCCACCTGAAGAGGAGAGGTCTCGTTTTGTTCTAGCAGAGCTGCACCCCCAAGGAACCTGGTTAAGATTTATCCTGCTCCCAACACCTCTGTCTACCCCAGCCCCCAAAGGCTATGTTTAGTAGAGGTGCTAACCAAGTGGCTCACCCTTCTATGTCCTGAGCTCCATACCACCCTTGACTGGCTTCCAGAAAGTGTGCTTGACTGTATTTCCAGACAGCAGACCAGACCTTGGTTTCCCCAAGTAGGAGAGTCCAGCACTCACACCCCAGATCCCCAGGGGTCTGCCATGGGCTTCTGCCTCTCCCATTTTCATAGGAGGTAGGCTCAGCCTCTCACCAGTGGTAAGTAGATGGGTAACCAGCGAGAGCTAAAGTTCCTCTTGAATTCTCCCTCAACAACCCCCACCCGCTTCACCTCCATTCACCATCCACCCGCCTTTCAGTTTCCCTGGCAACACTGAGTGCTCATCCTGGAAAACTTTATCCGAAATCTGCTCTGGGCAGCTTTCCAAATCCATGCTAACTTGATTAGGTATCTCTAGGGGCCTTGCCAGCTAATCAGATTAGGCAGCACTAATGGTAGTGAGGACTTTGAGTGGGCGCAGAGCAGTAAAACATATTGTATACTTAGTGATAATTATCCTGCCTTTTGTGTCATTGATTTATCTGCCTCCCTCCCTGTCCCCTGTCTTGTGTGTTTGGCCATAGCGATCCGGAGGAAGGAGAATGGCTGGTACGATGAAGAACACCCTCTGGTCTTCCTCTTCTTGGGATCATCTGGAATAGGTAATGGGAACAGATCAGCCAGTAGGAAAGAAGAGATGGGGGAGCCCCAGCTGCTATGGCCAGGGTCAGGCCACCCACCTCTAGTTCAACTCCAGCTCCCAATACAACTGCCTCCAAATTACAGAGTCAGCAAGGGGATCATCTGTCACATTAGGCATAGCTGGAAGTATGCCCCTCCCCTGGAAGCTGGGATACAGGGCCTAATTCACCTGGTGGGCCAGGCCCTTTGGAGCCTGTACCCCTGCTCCAGCCATTCTGCATCCCCCAAGGCTGCCCTTTGGGTACAACTGAACCACCTCCACTGCCCAGCACATCAGCCTTATTCAGTACAGCCTGTAACATAACCCACTAGGAAGCTAAAGAAAGCCCCTGATGGCCAGCATAGTGCTAGGTGCATAACAAAATTGGTTGCAGTAAATTGAGTTGGGTATTTTTCTGGCCAGTTAGACTGGATTATCTGAGGCATTCTTACCCACCTTGCTCTCTACCCTCACAGACCACACACACACCTCTACCACTACCTCCCACCGTTGTCTTGATGAGGAATTTCATGCATTTAGTTGCTTCCTCTTCCCTTCTCAGCACTTTTATGGGCTTAGCTCTCCCTCAGATACAGGGTCCAAAAAGATTAACACCACCTCACCATGATACTGTAGAACTTGACTTCCTATACTGGACAGTAACTTCCAAAGGCTTGACCAGCATACCAAATAGTCCTTCAGAGCCACCACTCTGATGTTGTCATTCCTCTTTATGTTACAAAGAAAGGCTGTGAAGCCAAGGAAAGGTGCCCTCCCTACCTCTGATTGAGCTATGACTCCAGGTGTGGCTGGGTAACAAGATCATGGGTGTCTGGAGAGATACAGTGCAGTGAGCCAGGAAGTCAGGGTGCTCTTAGGAGAGGCAAGGTCTATGCTGGGCTTCAAAGGACAAGTTGGCTCTGGATTATAAGAGTCAACCTCCTAATCTTAGGATGCGGCTATAGAGAAAAAACCTCAATCCCATCTACAGAAAAAATCAAGATGCAGTGCAGACTTTGATTCTGTCCCAGCTTTACCCTTAATTACTTTGGTGACTTTGAGAGAGTCACTGACCTTCTCCAGGCCTCAACATTCCCATCCATAAAATATATTATTTTCAGTGTCCATGCATTTCTAATGTTCTTTCATTCCAGGAGATAGTCATCCGGTTCTAACCTAATTTCTCTCCCTTCTCTTGTACTAGGAAAAACAGAATTGGCCAAACAGACAGCCAAGTATATGCACAAAGATGCCAAAAAGGTAAGAACTGGGGCCTAGGCCTGATCTGCAGGCCAAGGAGACCTTGCCACTCCTGCTAGACCAAAAACTCTAGGCTCCCTGAATCTGGCAATAGCCAGTCAAAAAGATGAACTTTAGCCCAGGAGTAGTAGGCCTCAGCTCTGGCCCCAACTTGACCACCAATTGCTCCAGGAAATGGGCAAGTTATCCAACCTCTTTGTACCTCAGTTTCTTCATTTATGAAATAAGAAGAATATTCTTTGCCCTGTTTGACTCTTGGGGTACTTGAGAGAGCCCAGTGAGATTCATCCATACAACATTTTCAAACATCTACTCTGTGTCAGGTATTATACTAATTCCTGATAATACAGTATTTATTGTGACACTATCCCTACCCTGAGGAACTCAGTCTGGAGAGGCAGACAGCTTTAGAAACATACTATTACTATTCAGTGCCATCAAGGCCATGTTAGAAGGAGTCTTGGGGCCTGTAAGAGAAAACAAGGAGGAACAAGAAGATGCCCTTTTGCTTCTCTCCATCACACATGAGCTTTTAAACAGGATTTTTTATGTCTAAGCTCTGTGGGGCGGTCACAATCCCATTTCCCCCATGACTCGAAGCCCTGACCCTCCATAGGAGAGGGCTGTCCTCATCCCTTATTTGTTCTGACTCTGGCTTAGTTTGACTTTCTAGGCAGTGCTTTCATGCAGAGAGAAATGTCAGAGAGAGCAGTCCTTGGAGACTGCAGAAACATTTCAACAAAGGCCAAACATTCTTCTTTCTACCAGCCTTCCCATTGTGGAAGCTAAGGTCCCCTTGTCCATCACCAGAGCCACAACTCCAGATGCCCTTGCCTCATTTCTCTGGAAAGCCTCCCTACCTGAGACGCTGAGGATTTGCTCAGGTCTCTGCCAGCCAAACTGCCCCAGCAGCAGAGCCCTATGTACCTCATGTCCTGCTTCTGACCTAGCTGCCTGCCCCTTTGCCACCTTCCTGAGGTCCTGGCAGCCACAAAACACAAGGTATCTCAGGCTGTGTCCTCCTGAGCCACATCTATGGCCTCCTTCTGCTTAATAACTAGCTGAAGTCTCCTGAGCCTCCCTGGCTCTGCCAGCTATGCTTTGCCTCAACCAAACCCAGAGCAGACCCACCTGACAGGCAGGCAGGCAAAAAGCAGCTTATGACATGCTTATGTGCTCCAACCGAAATAACATTTTTAAGACAATTCATCAGGTTGGCAGCGATTGAAACAATTAGCACTCTGGAAAGGGCCATAAACTAGCAAGACTATTAGGGAAGATGCAGTTACGGGCAGGAACCACCTGATTAGGGATGAAGAATTCTGAGCATTTTAATTTTAATACTGTCAGAAAGGTTAATATTTAATTACAAATTATAATCTCCTTATCCAAGCTGTCTTAATATGTCTTCATACACAGTGGAAGTAGAAAAATTATCTGTTGACTTGCTAGTGTAGAAAGGAGAGGGGGCTTATTAAAAGATTGATGATGCAAGTCATTTTTCAATTGAAGCATATATTTAGTTGGAGGCACATTTATACCAGTATAGGGTGTCCTGATGGCATCTTTCAATACATGCCTCACCTAGGAGAAGGACGTAACACCGTCACCCTTTGAAGGCAGTGGGTTGGGTGGTCCAGGTTCTGGAGCCAGTCATTCCTTGCACTGGTTCCATTTCTACTTTCTACTAGGCCTAGGCAGGTTGCTTTACCCCTCTACATTTCAACTCAGCTCTCTTGTCTCAAAGTGAAGCTATACAGCCCTGTATCTAAGATAGTCATGAGCATCAAGTGAGATAATATGAATCCCAGCTCGCTCAGGCTCTAGCACGCAGTAAGTGCCTGCTCCCTTGTCTCGTGTTTATTCATCACTGCGTACTTTCCTCAGCAATACCCCATTGACTGTCTTATTTGATCCCATGAGGAAAATATCATAGATACTAAATCGGACCCACTTTTCAGATGAGAAAACTAACCCTACAGCATGAAGGGGCCTTCCAAGGTCACTTGTATGGTGAAGAAGTAAAATCAGAATCCAGTCTCAACTCTTCTCTGAATATTATTGTTCTCAGGTGCAATAAGAGGCTAGATTGTAAACTTGTCAATTTGTCCCCATGTCACATAGGGAGATGAGAGGCATGAGAAGCCCAATATAACCACGCATGTATGATTTTTAAATCATAGGTAGTGCTTCTACAGAATTTCTACCTGTATCAGCACTGTGGGCTAGTTCATTATAGAATATGTGTTTAGCATAGATGTTTTCTGGCCATGTAACAGGCATGTTTGAGACCTGCCTTCAAAATCCGAAAGTACTGGACTATAAGCTATCTAACCAAGATATCTGACGCTGCCAGAACCTATGGAGTGATGTGTAGAAAGTGTTGTGTACAGGTCCCAGTGGAATGTAGAGCTGACTAAAATGAAATGAACATTGGCCTGGGAGTCGGTGACTTGGATTCGCGTTCTGGCTCTCTGATCCTTAGTTGCGTCATTTGTAAAGAGGCACTATATCTCTGGACCTGGCTCTCTCACAAGGCATTGTATGCACATTTTTATAATTTCTTTATCAGATCTGTGAGCTTATTTTTTTTTCTCTTACTAGCCTCTACTATTCCTCCCAAATTGAGCAGCTTTATTAACTTCCATTATTAGGGTTAATAATCCTCGAGAAAGAACCTTAATGGTATTCTGCGATCTCATCCTGATATAGGGTGGTGGAGCCCTAAAGACTTGCGGTTATAGAGGCATTATAACAAAGAGATCAGAGCAAGGATCTGAGTCTAACTGCCTAGGTCCAAATCCCAACTCTAAACTACTCTGTGGAGGTGGCCGGGATCTCTGCTTATATCAATTTTCTCATCTATAAGATAGGTTCAATAATGGTACCTATCTTATTGATTTATCATTAAGGTTAATGAGATAATGATGTAAAATGCTAAACACCATTCTTGGCACATAATAAGCAATTGATACATGTTAGATATTACTGTCATTATGTTGTCTCACTTCTAGATAACCCTAAGCTAAGATCATATGAATCCAAAATTAATCCAGCCAAGAAAATCAAGCCCTGAGACTTGTTCAAATTTATTTGAACAAGCAGATCAGTAGAACAACTAGGGTAAAAACCCAGATCACTTGATAGTAAGTAAGCCCTAGTCTATACTCCCTGTTTCCTGGGACATTGACTGACATCTGAGCACAAAACTCAGATGGAGACTGCCAAGAGCCCGACTGATTAACAGAACAGGAAATATAAGGCTGTAGAGTATAATGACCAGATTATGAAGTTTAAATGACCTCGGGCAAGTTACTTTAATCTGTGACTTAGTTTTCTCATCCGTTAGGTGGGGATGATTATAGTGCTTACCTCATAGACTTGTACATATTCTAAGCCCTTTATAGTTTGATTAGAACATTGCCAGGTACACAGTAAGCACCGAGTGACCATCAGCTATTACCAGATACCCACCTTGTGGCATTCAGCCCATTGCACCCTCTGGGCAGCACTCCCAGTTTCTCCACGGTCCATCCTTCCTGAAGCCTGTGTTTCTCTTGGCTAAGCTGCCTGGGGCCCTCAGAAGATGCTTGCTGGCTAATGCCCTATGTCTGATAGCAGGGATCACCCCCATGTGACCTTATTGACTTCCCCTAACCCTTTCTCACCTCTTGGAGCAGATCCTTTCCTCAGGCCCCTGGTGAAACTAGGAGAAGAAATAAGGGCCTGTGTTATACAAAAAGAAACTACAGCTCAAAAAGAGGAGCAGCATGCCCAAGGCCACACAGATAGCAAAACTGGAACTGGAAGCCAAGCTCTTGGCTACCAGCCCCGGGCTCTTTCTGCCACCCTGTACCTCAAGTACAGAACAACAGAACAGAGAATAAACTAAAAGTATATCACTGAGTGAATTTCAGATCAGCTAGAATAGGCCTACATTTCAGACATAGCTACCTCCCTCGGGGTCTTGGCTCCCTGTCACCCCCAGCTCTCAGGAAAAGTGTGGTCAGTGAGTGTGCTCTCTCAGATGGAAGCACGTACCAGCAGGAGAGGAGCCTAGGGAGCCCTGGTCTGGGTGGAGTGACAGGGCACTTGTGAATGCCCTTATAACTGCCTAAATCCCTAAATTTTTCATGAAAAGTGGGTACTCTACCTGTGTTGACTCACAAATCCCATACTACCCACTGTTCTCTTCCCTTGGGGCTAATCGTGGTCAGACCTAACACCAGGGAACCACTTCTTCGGAAGCCACCACTAGGCCCACCAGTGGGGAGAAAAAGGCTGCAAGGTACATTATGGGTGGATTTTTGATGAGATGAAGAAATCTAAATAAAAAGGTTTATTAATTTAAAAGAAAAGTAAACTAAAACCAAGGGGTATGTGCCCACACAGACTTGCAAAGGTGAGGGCACCTTGGAACTGTCTGGATATTTGTTGCTCTCCTCTATGTCATCCCGATCCACGCTGATTATGACTATGTCCATGGCCGCCTGCCCCACTCAGTGGGTGCTCCTCGAGGACAGAGACCAAGCCTTGTTCACCATTGTAGCTCCATGCCCAGCACACACAGATGTTCTCAGGAAATATGGAATAAACGGGAGGGTGGGAGGATGGGTAGATGATATGGTAATCAAACTAGTAGAAGCCTGCTTGAAAAAAGAAACATTCTGAGCCAGATTTAGAAGGGCAGGGACTTGACTTGGGTTTGTTAAGGTAGGGAATAGAATCATATAGGGAATGAGTGGATAGAAAAGATGGCAAGTAGCCAGATCTTGGGTTGGTGTGGTCTGAAAGCCTAGGGGATATTTGAGACGCTCTCCTTCTTAACCCCTTCCCTCTGCTTTCGTGTTTCCAATTGGACTCTTGCTTGTTTCCTCGCAGGGCTTCATCAGGCTCGACATGTCTGAGTTCCAGGAGCGTCATGAGGTAAGAGTCCTAGGCGAAGTGTGATTTGGAGGGCTTATCAACATGGCCTGGGTATTTTGATGTGGCTTGTGATTTGGGCCTGAGATAATTCCAGCAGTCTGGATTTGTCCTTTGTGGGTATATGTGTGCAGCAGGGTCACTGATCTGTTTTGCATAGGGTTTGCTCTGAAGAATAAATATAGAGAAGATCTATCTGCTGTCCCATTATGGTAGCGTTCCTGCCACCCTGGGAGACAGCCTGACACTCCTTGTTGAGACAGGCAGTCTTGACAGTGTTTACGAAGCCATCTCCCTGTACATTCCCCATATTGGAAGTTTAAAGCATGGAAAGGCCTTCCTGACATGTTGCCTTCCTTCCCCCAGGTGGCCAAGTTTATCGGGTCCCCACCAGGTTATATTGGCCATGAGGAAGGTGGCCAGCTGACCAAGAAGCTGAAGCAGTGTCCCAACGCTGTGGTGCTCTTTGATGAGGTGGACAAGGCTCATCCAGATGTGCTTACTATCATGCTGCAGTTGTTTGATGAGGTGAAAGTCAGCCTGGGCTAGAATGGAGATGGGGACACCTGGAGGTGTGGGGAGCTTTGGATAATAGGAACCAAGGACCCAGAGGTCTGATCATTCCTCAGCTTGCTCTGTGTGTACATTCGGGCCCTTAGTCCATGTGATTTTACCTCCTCTCTGGACCACAGCTCAGCCTGGGCATTTGAGAGAAGACCAGTACTGTCCAAGTGTTGAAATTTCGTCACTGCCCAGGCTACCTTCCAGAGAGACGGAGTGGGGCAAAGATGCCAGGAGAGCGAGGGAGACCTGAACTTTTAGTTCTAGCTCTGCTTCATTTCTAGGCATCAGGGATCTCATGTGACAAACAAGGCGTCTAGATCCAAGATAAGCTCGAAGAATCTTTCTGGCTCGTGGAGCCCTTTTCTTCTGAGGAACTCCAGGCTTGTCACAAACGAGACAGTCCCCCCTACTGGTGGAGTGAGTTCTAAATAAGAAGAACCCCCTTTTATCCAACACATTCTGTGTACTAGGCTTATGCTAAGGACTTTACAGATGTTATCACTAATCATCACAATAGCCTGGCAAGGTAGAAATGATCTCATTTTTTACAAATGAAGAAACTAAGGTTCAGAGAGGTTATAAATGACTTGCCCAAGGCCACAGAGCTACTCTATGGAGGAACCAGGATTGGGCTACAAAATAAATCTGATCCCGGAGCCCCAGTTCTCCCCTCTGTACCACTCCTTCCCTTGAGCTGAGAGGGAAAGCTTATGATCATGGAGGAGTCGACCTCCACCCTTGACAGGAGTCTGCAGAACCAGAATGAGGCTTCTCTTCTGCTCCTAGGCAGGGTATATGTTAGCCAGCATGTGGCCAGATGGAGTCCTCCCCACCTTTTCACTTAGCCCCTCCAGCCCTGGGAAAATAGGAAGGGGTTTTGCTTCCCATGTCACAAGTACACTAAACGAGGTGCAGGAAGGGACTCCCCCTGGACCAAATAGCACACCAGTTACCAAGCCAGGAAGACCCAGAACCAAATGTCCCCATAGCTTCCCACCACCTTCCCCACCTAGCCCAGCATCCTTGCCCCTGCCCCAGTTTTGTTGCTCTCTTCTTAGCCCTTCAGGTACTCCCTGTTCCTGGGCCCCCCACTGAGGAATGAAAGGCAGTTCTTCTAAAGTCACATATTCAGTTACTCACATCTGTGCTCTGAGACCTCCTGCTCCATTCCAGCCTCTTGATGGAATTCAGATACACAGCTATGCACCAGACTGAAACCTGCCCTTGGGAAGCTGCCTGCCTAGTAAACAGGCAAAAAGGAGATGTGATAATAGTTGACATTTTTGTACTTCATGTGTCAGGCACTGTTGAAAAACTTAACACGGACCAACTCCTTTAAGTCTCCCAACAACCTATGAAGATAGTTATTATTATTGCGTCCATGAATAGATATGGACACAGAAGTAAAGTGAGGTAGCTTATTCACCCATGGTCACACAACTGGAAAGAGGGAGTCCAGGTTCGAACCCAGGCATCCAGTTCCAGATCCTGCAGCATTAAATAACTACCATGCAGCTAGGGCCAAAAGAGAGAGGTAGATCTTCAGTAAAACATTCACAAGAAGGGAGAGTCCAACAGCCTGTTTGGCCTCTGACTCCCTAGAGAGGTACCACTGATGGCCTCCTTGGCCCAGAAGGAGGGAAGACAACTGATGACTGACATACAACCGGGCCCACCTGGAAGATGCTTCCACCCCTATGGGGAGACCCTGTTCACTTCTCTCCTGCTGCCGTCACTCCATGACTACCTTTTGGGAGTTGATAATAATTCCTTCCTGTAGCCTCCACAAGCCTACTATAGTTTCTGATGCTTATGCCCTGGGTTCCCTTGACCAAAGCTGCCATCCTAGTTTACTTAGCCAGATTTATGCATATATGCTCCTTGAGGACAGGGATCATGCCTACTCCAACCACTCCCAGAGCCCACAACATCAGGGGAAATGCTTTTTTGACTTAATTCAGTGGTAATTCAGCAAATCTTCCAAAGATGAATAAGTGTTTGCCAGATAAACAGAGCAGAGAAGGGCCGACAGCAGACACCACATGTGCAGAAGCACAGGGGCATGATGCAGCCTGGTGTATTAAGGGAACTATAGCTGTTCAGTACTGCTCAGCTGCACAGGGAAGTGAGAACAGAATGGTGGAGATGAGGTGGGTAAGGTAGACTGGGGCCAGTTAAAACGCCAGGCAAAGGAGCATAGATGTATTTGGTGGATTGTAAGGAGCCTTTAAAGACTTTAAGCAAGAGAAAAACATGGTCAGGTTTTTTCTTTATAAAGGTCCTGTAGGCAACCGTGAGAATGGAAGGAAAAAGAGGGCAGTGAGGAGACTATTGAAAAGTCCAGACTAGAGCCGGAGAAGCCTACTCTAAAGTAGGGCAGTGGAATGAGAACTACCAGGACGTTGGCTGTGCAGGGCTCAGTGATTGGATGGAAAGAGAAAGGGAGAGGCCAAGGATGACAAGCAGCAGGATTTCTGGCCTGGGCGACTGGGTGGCTGCTGCTGCTATCAGCTGAGGCAGAGTACTCAGGAGGATGAACAACAGATTGGCAAAGAAAGTGAAGAGCTGAGGTTTAGAACTGTTGAAAGGAGATGCCTAAGGGACAGTCAGATGGCCATATCCAAGAGGCCATTCATCAGTTGGAGAGGTCTGGAGCATAGGAAAGTCTGGACTGAAAGTAGAGATTCAGCAATGCTCCAGCACAAAGAGAGTAACGAAAGCCATGGAAAAGGATGATGTCTCTCAACAAGGGAGAGTATAGTGTGCAGAGAAGAAGAGAGCGCTAAAACAGAGCCTTGTGACCTATCCAGAAAGAGTTAAAGGGGGACTTGGCAGAGAGATAGGAGGGAAAGCAGGAGATTGTGGTCCAGTGTGGGGCAGAGCGGGCACGGACAGAACACAGTTCCTGCCTTAGTGTTCAGGAATGAATGAGGGAGACAGACAGCAAAAAGCAGTTCAGCCCACTGTGGTGAGTGCTGCGCTTGGAGAAGCAGCAAGGGCCAGGAATTGTAAGGGCACCTAATCTAGCCTAGGGGCATGAGAGAAGCCCTGCCATTCCTACCTAGCCAGTTCTCCCAAGCCTGGGCCCAGAAAAGCAAGAGCCCTAGTGCACTCACCAAATCACCAAGAAGGACTAATGCTGGTCACTTCCTGGGTGATCTCAGCCTATGGCACAGGGTCGAAGTCCCAGGAAGAGATGAGACCCCAGGGAGCCCACCCTCCACTCCTCCTTTCAAGGGTAAGAACAGTGGAAAAACAGCCCCTAGAGCCCTGGAGTGAGCATTCACATCCCACTCAGGATTTCTGCACTCGTCATTGCTGGGAGGTGAGACAGTGACAGCTCCCTCTTTGGGACACGTCTTTATTGCCAAAGACCCTGAGGACAAGGAGACATGAAGTCACCCTTGGGTCAGTCATACAGTGCACCTGCTCCCCTCACCCACTGGGACCCATCCTCAGGCCCAGTTATAAGCAGAGCTTTGATCTCTTGGAATGAAATTGCCACTGGTTATTGCTCTGGCTAGTATAGCAGTGTGTGTGCTCATCCTTCAGGGATGAGCTCTGCAAACAGTGTCATATGCACATGCTTGGGCATGTCACACACTCATGCAGACCTGGTCCCCACTAAGGAGTGGATTCTATTGTAACCCATAAGCAAGAAAGCTAATGGCAAAAGCTCAAGAACATCCATTTGTGCCCTTGCCTTCCCCTTGTCCCACCCCAAGGCAGGGACAGGAGAGTGACCAACACCTAGATCACCCTTTTGAATAGACTCCCTTGGAGATAACACTTTCTGAGAGGCCTCTGCCAAGGTCCAGTATAAAGTAAGGCTGAAAAGCACCCGGTACCATGCCTAACACAGAGTAGGTGCTCAAGTAATGTACATTCCTTCTTCTGTTGCCTCTGAGAGCCAGGGCTGGTCTGCCATTGCATTGGCTTTAGAAATAAGGACCAACTTGAGTCAGGCCATGCCAACAGAAAGGGAAACATTTGAGGAGGGCTGGTTACTGGCTGAGTCTGGGGCAGGCAGGAGCCAACTGGCTGAGGCCAATGACCTATCCCTCAGAGCCATGTTCTCTGGCCTGTTAAGAACTATGCTTTGTCTGCAACCCGGAGGAAATCCCAGGCAGGTCTCCCCCTTCCCACACCTGTCCCAGTTGCTTCTCTTCATCAAGGATCAAAGGATGAAAACTAAATTTGGCAGGATTCTGAGAAAATTTTATTTAGAGAAAGAAAATTGCATGGAGCCTCATTTACCCAGTACCACTGGTATGACTTCGATAGCCTGGTATAGAGAGAAGGGCAAACAGTTTGAGCCTCAGCTCCACTATTTTCTAGCTATGAGACCTTGAATGAGTTACTTAACCATTCTGGGACTCAGTTTCTCTGTAGGGGTTGCAAGGATTCAGGCATTCAGCAAGCAAGTACTGAACATCTACTATGTGCCAGACACTGTTCTAGGACCCATTGAGAACAAGATCCAGCCTCTGCCTTTTTGGAGCTTCTAGTGGGCAGAGTACAATAGTACATAGGAAAGCACTAAGCAAGACACTACAGCTCATTAGTGTCCACTGTTGCTACTCCATCAGTTCCTTTCAATGAGGCTCTGATCATGGCTTTTCTTCTGAATCAGGGGTCCCAACCCCCAGGTCGCAGACCGGTACCAGTCCATGGCTTGTTAGGAACCGGGCTGCACAGCAGGAGGTGAACAGTAGGCGAGCAAGCGAAGCTTCATCTGCGTTTGCAGCTGCTCTCCAGCTCTAGCATCACCGCCTCAGCTCCACCTCAGATCATCAGGCATTAGATTCTCATAGGAGCACCGGTTGCTGGTGTCAGAAAAGCTGGAGACCGCTGTTCTAAATGACTGCAAAGTGCTGTCATACAGTTATAGCCTTAAGGTTTGCTGAGCTCCTTGCCCTTTAATACCTATACTTATCCCATTCTTCTGTCTCTTCCCTCTGCTGTTGCTCCTTTTCTCTTTCCTTAGTGCATCTGTCTCAGTTATACTTTCTTCTGTGTCATTTCTAGAGAGAGCTAAAGATTTCAAGGAAATTTCCCAAGTTGGTTAAAGGAGGAGCCGTATTTTCTATCCCTTTCCGTCAAGCCAGAGGATGGCTCCAAAGATGCAGAGATTATACCTGTTTCAATTCATTTCATTCTTTTTAATCTCACAAATATATGTGTTTGCTACTGTAATAACAGTTCAGAACATTTACACAGCTTGGTTTACTAAGGGTTTTTCTTCAGCATGACCATATCTAGTCTTCACAATGGCCCAGTAAAATACCCTCCTCTTAACTCCTACAGCAACTTGGGCTTCCCCTTACCATAACACTTAACCCACTGAATCGTCATTGCTGGTTTCCTGAGTGTCACTCAGAGCAAGTTAAAGGCTCTGAGTCTCCAGAACCCCAGCACAAAGCCTGGACCAAAGTGGGCTTCCAAGAAAGTGTATTGGATGGATGCATATGAAATCAGGCTGACTGCTGAGCGCCAGGGGTGATTTGGGTGCCCTGATTGATGACACACAGCAGATGCAGTCTTGCCCACAGGCACTCTTAATAGGTGGAGTAGTTGCAGCTTAGGGCAACGTGAACTGCCATCGAGGTGTAATTACAGTGCTCAGAGAAGCAAGCAGCTAACTCTGCCAGGGGTGGCAGAGGTAGAGGCACAGGGGTTCTGAAGAGACCTCCTGGAAGAGGTGCTTAGCCTTATACCTCCCTGACTGTGCAGTCACTGTTCTTTCCCAGGGCCGGCTGACAGATGGAAAAGGGAAGACCATCGACTGCAAGGATGCCATCTTCATCATGACCTCCAATGTGGCCAGTGATGAGATCGCACAGCATGCACTGCAGCTGAGGCAAGAAGCTTTGGAGATGAACCATAACCGTATCGCTGAGAACCTTGGTATGGCACGTGGCCTGAGCTGTCTGGGCAACTGGGCAAGTGCCCAGGCCACTAGCACATCTCCTGGGGTTAAGGATGGCATTGAGGTCCCAGGCTTTGGTGAGGGTCCTGGTAGGCAGTTCTGTCCATAGCTGGCAATGATCAGACACCAAGCACCAGACCAAATAGTGCTTGATAGCGACAGTGCCCCCTCTTCCTCAAGAAAGCCCCAAGTCTCTTGGGTGACAAGAAGATTCCAGACAGAGGAGTGGACAGAGCTACCCCAGGGTGAGGGGCCAGGAAGAGGCCAGAGTCTTAGGGAACTGAAGAGATGCATACTCAACAGATAGAGATGCTTTGGTCCAATGAGGGGACAGCAGATCAGAAACTATAGAGAAATGGATACAGCCTTTTGTAGCCAATGAGCCTTTTTCTGTAGGTGGGCTGGAGAGTGCTGGAAAGGAGAGCACATCACGCAGAAGGCCACATCTGTTATCTTTCTATTTGGAATGGAACCCTCCAGCTCCCTTCAGAACTCAATTCTTGGTCCTGACTTTCCTCTCCCCTCCCTCGTACAGTTTCCACCTTAAGGAACCCTAGGCTTTGTAGCATATGATTGCTAAAAGAGCCTCAGAAAGTACCCAGTCCAGTCCTCTCTGTTCAGGTAAGACCAGGCCAAGGCCCAGAAAGCCTGAGGTGTTGACCAGGGTCACACAGACCCATCAGGGGAGCTCTTTTCATGGATGAGCCAAGGGGCAGGCACATTTCCCAAAGTCCCCTGGGTGTGAGGAATAGTCAGTTTATGATTCTGTCTCCACAGGTGATGTCCAGATTAGTGACAAGATCACCATCTCAAAGAACTTCAGGGAGAATGTGATCCGCCCCATCCTGAAAGTAAGAAGTCTTTGTCCTTCCTGCTAGAGCCTCAGGTGTAGGGGATCCCCTTAGCCATCCTAAAACTGCAGAATCCCCCATATCTTCCCCATTGGAGTCCAGTAATTGCCTTTACCCTCATCTGGGTCACTGAGCTTACCCCACCCCTTACTTGGCCCTGCAGGCTCACTTCCGGAGGGATGAGTTTCTGGGGCGAATCAATGAGATCGTCTACTTCCTCCCCTTCTGCCACTCGGAGCTTATCCAGCTAGTCAACAAGGAACTGAACTTCTGGGCCAAGAGAGTAAGAGTGGGGACTGGCCATGGGTGGGAGCACTAGTTCCCAAAAGGTGGAGCTCAGTGGTATGGGGCCAGTGGCCTTGGGGCACAGTCTCTCATAGGCCAAGGCCTCAGGCATCATGGTGAGAGATGGAAAGCTCTCGGCCACATGCAGGCACACTCCTATCTGACCTTTCTCAGGCCAAGCAAAGGCACAACATCACACTGCTCTGGGACCGCGAAGTGGCAGACGTGTTGGTTGACGGCTACAATGTGCACTATGGTGCCCGCTCCATCAAGCATGAGGTGAGCATAGAGCCTGAGAGAAGAGAGGTGCCCCTACACCTCCCTCCCCAGCGCCCCCACACCCAACTCCTGGGCTCCCAGCCTAGAATTTTTCATACCCAGAGTAGATTCCCCTTCAGAACCAAAAACACAAAATGATCAAGTCAAACCCCTGTCCTGGAGCGTAACCAAGTGTAAACTCCTACCAAATGAAGAATTCACTTAGGAACCTCAGATACTAACATCATCAAGTCTTTAGCACAGTCCTGTAAGCTGTGTGTTATTAGCCATTTGCAGATGAGAAAACTGAAGCCTAAAGTATGTACTTGTCCTAGCAGTAAGAGATAGAACCTGGCCTCCAGGCTCAGGGCACAGGCTGGCTTAGGCCTCGGCAGTGATGACCTCTTCACTTGCCACCTTCAGGTCGAGCGCCGTGTGGTTAACCAGCTAGCGGCTGCCTACGAGCAGGACCTACTGCCAGGGGGCTGTACTCTGCGCATCACTGTGGAGGACTCAGACAAACAGCTACTCAAGAGCCCTGAGGTGCCCTCACCCCAGGCTGAGAAGCGTCCACCCAAGCTGCGACTGGAGATCATTGATAAGGACAGCAAAACCCACAGACTGGACATCCGGGCACCACTACACCCTGAGAAGGTGTGCCACACCCTCTAGCATCTACCTACCTGCTATACGTGCCCTCAACGTCAAATAAAGGCCCCTCGGCTGTGGCATGGCAACTGACCTGCCTTCCCCTCCTACCTCTCGCTCCTTTCCACCCAGCCTAAGGCCACTTACCTCCTTACAGCTCCTGCAAGACCCCTCCCCAGCCCCAAAGTCCAAAGCAGGAATTTTGCCCTTCCCTGGCCTTTCCATTGTGGGCCCAAAACTTGCTAAAAAGTCTCCAGGAGAGGGAGGTCTCTTATCATTGTCTTTCAGAGTGATCCCCATGCCCCATAGTCTCTGGAACTTTATCATGTTGCCTGGAAGCTCAGAAGTATGGCAACTAAGAACAGATCTGGCCAGAAGAAGACAGGGACAGACTGTGACCTGCCCTCATGTAACTGAGACCTCGAATGTCTCCACAGAAAGTAAAGAAAGTGCATAGGCCCAGGCACAGAGGTTTAGCAGTTTAGGCTGTAGCTACTTCTTTCCCATGCCCTAAAATCTCAAGAAGAAGGGACCTATACAACTCTTCCCCCATCCTCTGCCATATCATAGCTACTGTTCCTCCGCATGTTCTGGGGTCAGGCCAGACCAGGTTTCTCCGGCCTTGGAACTGGGCCAACATGGGAGGAAGGCTGACTGGGTCACTACCCTCGCCTACTCCAGTACTGGACAATAGTACCAAATGACCAAGCAAGCTCAGCTCTTTGGGGCCTCCTTCAGGAGACTAATGCTATATATATTGGGGAATTATAGGGGGAGAGATAGAGGTCATGGGGTCAGGCTCTGCCTAGATGGCCATGGACCCTGCCTCAGCCCTGTCTATACTGCTGTCACAGCTAAGTTAGCCTGGAATAAACAGCTCCCCCATGCTGTCTCCATGTTAGTTACTAAGCAGAAGGTCTAGACGTACACCATCCCCCAAAGACATTCACAGATCAGCCATGTTTTAACCTCAGCTTAGGAGGGCACAGCAAGGCTCAGTGCATCCTTGGGCATCATCTGCAGTAGCCCCCATTGATGATCACCTCATCATTCTCCCTCTGCAGGGCCATTTTGGAACCCTCCTTTGGTGTCAGCTCCTCTCTTTGAGGAAGCAGAAAATGGGGGCAGGAATCCAAGTCCCTTGGGTGATAGGAGAAAGTCATAACAATATGGTGGGTATAAGGCCAGGGGCCTGGGCTCCAGCAATCACCATCCAGCTCTCAAATTGCTGTGTCTGCTGCTCCCTGCCTCAGTGACTGCTCTTGTTTTTTTTCTCATCTTGTCTTGAGGTAATTTTAGACTTAAAGAAAGTTGCAAAAATAGTGGAGTTCCTATATACCCATTCACCTAGCTTCTATATTAACATCTTATAAAACCATAATTATTCAAATCATGAAATTAACATTGGTACAGTCCTACTGACTAATAGGTAGACATTCAAATTGTGCCACTTGTCCCACTGATGTTCTTTCTCTGGTCTGGGATCCAACCTAGGGTCCCACATTGCATTTGTTGTCTTGTTTCCTTCATCTCCTTCAGCCTCTGACAGTTCGTTCCTCTGTCTTTCTTTGCCTTTCATGACCTTAACACTCCCAAAATGTCCAACTGGTTATTTTTTGCATTGTCCCTCAATCGGGTTTCTCTGTGTTTTCACAGGATTAGATTGAGGGTACCCCAGAAGTGATGTTGTGCCCTTCTCAGGGCCTCATAGCAGGGGATCAGGTTAACTTTGATCACATGGATGAGGTACTGCGTGCCAGGTTTCTCTGCTATCAACTTAAAAATTTCTCCTTTGAAATTAATAAGAATCTTGTGAGAAGATACTTTGAAGCTGTGCAGATGGGTTTTTTTTACCCTTAGAATTTTGCCCATTGATTTTAGCATTCATCAATAGTTCTTGCTTAAGCAAGTATTAATGTTCTTTTTGCCGAATGATGACTTTGTTTCCTTATTCCATTTATATTTATTAATTGGTATTCTGTAAGGAAGAGCTGTCTCTTTTCCTCCATTTATTTATTCAATAATTTATATGAATATAAACTAATGGATATTTGTTTTCTTCTATGGGTTATAATCTAATACTACTAGTAGTTTATTTTGTTGTTCTTTTTGGCCTAGATTTGGCCATTCGGAACTCTCAAATTGGCTCCTTTTTTGTTTCACCATTGCCCCCCATCATTTTTTTAACACTGCCTTACTTTCTGGCACCACAAGATGTTCCAAGCTCACTTATGTTTTTCCTGTCCCAGCCCTGACATCAGCCATTTGTCCAAACAGCGTGTGGTTCCTTTTATTCGAGAATAGTACTTAGAAAACAAGATCTGAGCACTAGGGTGTCCATTGCTACTGGACTGTCATTGCTTCTAGGCCCTTTCAGCACACAGAGCTAGGAAATATATGTATATATGTTAACACACACACATCTGAATTTATTATTGTGTCTCTCCATCTATATGTTATTAAAAACCTTGAGTTCATATCGATACCTACAGTTCTAATCTAATACCACTGGGTTTGTGACTACCACTATCATGACTTTACTATTCTGTTTTTTCTCTCCTTCTATCTCTGTTTCTTCTCCTTTGACTCTGGTGTTCAGATTTCTCTTAGAGGCTCTAATTAAGTCAGTCAGTAACCATCCCATATGGAACATGCCTATTGGATAAAGTTTTCCTGGCTGCCAATACCTTGGTTCAATTAAATGTGGCCAAAAGCATCAGGCATATAACTCAAAACCAGATAACTTTTATACAAGAAAAGGAGGGTATGAACAGAGCAGACCCTAAGATTCTAAGGAACTTAAGTATCACTTCTTGTAGGGATCCTTAGCTAGACCTCCTAGATGATGTTAAACCCCTATCATATCTCCTTAGCATCCTAGGCAATACTCAGCTCAATTGTATTACTTGTTATATGTCTTACTTTGTCACTAGACTGTAAGCTCCAAGAGGGTACATACCCAATTGTTCAGCTCACTATCTTATTCATAGAACCTGGCACAGTGCAAGCACATGATGGATGCTCCAGGTATTTGGATGAATGCTGGGCTCTGCAGCAAGCACAGGTCTTCACAATAGGTCCCAGGACAAAGCAGTACTATTTGTTTGCTGAGCACATATTTATTTGTCACATGGTTGTAACTAGGCTGTAGAACTTGAGCAAATGGGGCAAAGTAAGACCTAGATACTTTGTTAAGTATCCTGGGATATATAAGACTGGACTTAGAAATGCAAATGTATTATTGTTCAAAAAGAAAAACTCAAAGATGCATAGTGATTATTTTAGAAACTTTAAAAAAACATTTAAATCATAAGAAAATAGGAAGTGGACTAATAAAGATAAAACCTGAAGTTAAAGTAGGAAACCAAAAAAAAGGGGAAGGAGAATGTATAAAAAAATTATTCTTTGAAAACACCAATAAAATAGATAAAATCTTCTCAGCCTGATAAAGAGAAAAAGGGCAAAAAAATAAAACCATATTAGGAATAAGAAATCAGACATACCATATATATATGGAAGAATTTAAAATAAATAAATTTGAAAACAGCAAATAGATTATTTCCTAGCAAACACTTACCCAAGATATAATTTGAATAGAAAAATAAATTACCAAAGAAGAAATTGGAAAGGTGATTAAAAATTTATTCTTTTGTAAGATTGTGTTCTTTTATTTAAATTTTTTATTGATCTATGTATGGAAAAGTACACAAATCACATGTACACAGTTCAATGAATTATCACAAAGTGAACACCACTATAGCTATCACTCAGCCCAAAAAATAAATGAGTTGTAATTTTTAATTATATAAACTGCTTCAGACCATGAGGAGATGCTCCACTGATTTTGAAGGCCAGTGTAAGATTAATACTCAAACCTGATAAAGTACCAAAAAGAATGCCATACCCTAACCTCACCTATGACTATAGATGCAAAAACTCCAAATAAATAAAGTTGAATTGTACAATGTGATCACATAAGATTTATTTCAGCAATACAAGCCTTAGTGTCAGGAAATTAATATAATCCACTATGTCAAGAATTTGAAGATTATTTAAATGTTTCTGGATTATTATTCATGTTAATTTTCTTATTTTGCTAATTCTTATGTAAGAATGTTCTCGTTTTTCAGAAATATACATTGACGTATTTAGAAGTTAAAGGTAAAGACAATTTCTCGTTTTTCAGAAATATACATTGACGTATTTAGAAGTTAAAGGTAAAGATAATTTGCAAATGTCTCAGGAAACTAAGTTTATATATATACACATACGTATATGTATGCATTCACATACATATATACACACAGAATGGTAAAAGTAAAATAGTAACATTTGGGAAATCTCAGGAAAGGGTGTACAATAACTCTTTGTATTGTTTTTGCAACTTTTCTGCAAGTAAATTTATTTCAAAATAAACTTCTTCAAATGAAGAGATAAAACATTTTATCAGTATATGCTGAAAAAGCATTTGATAAAATGTTACAGCTTTAAATGTGATTTGATAAAATCACATTTAAGTAAATGGAAAAGAAATTATGCATCAAAAACCAATAGCAAACCAATAGCAAACATCATTTTTAATTGTAGATACTAAAGCTATTTCTAGTAAAGTCTGAAATGACAAAATTCAACATTGCTTTGAAAATTCAGGTGAAAGCAATTAGGCAAGAAAAGTAAATGATATAAATATTGGAAAATAAATTATCTCGTTTTGCTGATATATGAGACTGTATTTAGGAAATCCAAGAGGCTGTAATAACACCTATTAGCACTAATAAAGAAATCTGGTAAGTATCTAAATAAAAGACAAATGTACAAAAATCAGTACCTTTTTTTCTATTCTAACAATAATCAACTAGAAACAAAGGGAATGTATTTCATTCATAATTGCAACAAATAGGTGTATATATTTGTTAATCTATACATAAAATACCTCTGGATGAGGGGAATTGGGTAAAGGGATAGCAATGGAAGGGAAAATTCACTGTATTTTTTACACTTTTAAATTAAATCTTGAATTAATGTTATTCAAAAGTATTTAATACTTAATACACTTAACAAGAAAAAAATGATATCAAAGAACATAAAACAAGATCTAGCAAAAAGACATACCAGGTTCTTGGATAGGATGACTTCATAACATCATTAAAATGTCAAGTCTTAAATTTACATATAATTCAATGCAAGCTTACTTAGACTCAACAGCATTTCTAATTTAATAAAATTGAAGTCATATTATACTAGAGCATCCAGAGGTGAAGCTATATGGAGCTATTGTTTTCTGGATCTAGGCTCTCAGGAGATACGGTTACTACAATCCGATCTTAATAGTATGCAAACTAGAAAATAAGTTAAATTCAGCTCCCATCAATATACACCCTACATACAATTATGAGAGAAAGGAAAGAAAAAAGTTATTGTCTGGTGTATAGAGACTATGACTCTGGTTGTAGAGAAGAAGAGAAAGTGGAAAATTAAGCGAAAGAGGCAAGTTTTCTGATTTCATTGTGCCTAAATGGTATAATAAGGGAGTGAAATGACCATATTTGTGTTTTAAAAAGACCCTTGGTTGCATCATACAGAATGGTTTAGGGTGACTTCTGACCAATATGCAACAATGGAGTAGTTCCAGGTACACTCCCTTCTTACCTCAAATATAGAAATACTGAATATGTAACAACAGCAACAAAAAAAAACAACACACACAACTAGGCTTGAAACTAAAATGTGGGAATTCCCAGTTTCTCCACATCTTCACCAACACTTGTTATTATCTCTTTGATTACAGCCATTCTAGTGGGTGTGTAGTGATATTGTGATTTCTATTTGTATTTCCCTGGTGACTAATTGATATCTTATTGGCATTTCATATATCTTCTTTGGAGAAGTGTCTGTTCAGACTCTTTTCCCATTTTTAAATTAGGTTGTCTTTTTCTTGTTGAGTTTTAAAATTTCTTTATTTACTCTGGATACTAGACTGGACAGAGAAAGATGGAGGTTGAAAAATTGTACACATTAAAGGATGAATTTTGTGACATGAATTGTCTCAATTTTTATATCAAAAAATTATACCTCAAAGAAAAAAAATCTTTAGGAAGTAGATTTTTAATGTATCAAACTTAAATGTCAAGAGAATGAGGAGACAAGCCACAGACTGGGAGAAAATATTTGCAAAACACAGGTCTGATAAAGGATCAGTATCCAAAATATACAAAGAACTCTTAAAAGTCAATGATAAGAAAATGAACAGCCAGATTACAAAATGAGAAAAAGATCTGAACAGACACCTCTCCAAAGAAGAGATATAGCTGGTAAGTAAGCATATGAAAAGATGTTCAACATTATATGTCGTTAGGGAATTGCAACTTAAAACGAGATACCGCTACGCACCTATTAGGCCAAAACCCAAAACACTGACAACACAAATGCTGATAAGGATGTGAAACAAAAAAAAACTCATTGCTGTTAGGAATGCAGAATGATATAGCCATTATGGAAGACAGTTCAACAATTTCTTAGAAAACTAACCATACTTTTCCCATATGTTCCTGTAATCATGCTCCTTGGTATTTACCCAAATGTGCTAAAAACATGTCTACGCAAAACCTGCACGCAAATATTTATAACAGCTTTATTCATAATAGCCAAAACTCGGAAACAACCAAGATATTCTTCAATGAGCAAATGGATAAGCAAACTGTGATACATCCAGACAATAGAATATTATTCAGTGCTAAAAAGAAATGAGCTATTAAACCATGAAAATACGTGGAGAAACCATAAATTTGTGTTACTAAGTGCAAGAAGCCAATCTGAAAAGGCTACATACTACATGATTCCAACTACGTGATTCTGGGAGAGGCAAAACTATGAAGACAGTAAAAAATGTCAGTGGTTGCCAGGGTCTTGGGTGGGGGAGGGTGGTGCGGATGAATAGAACGCAGAGGATTTCTTGGGCAGTGAAACTATTCTGTATAATAAGTAATGGTGGGTACATGTCATACATTTGTTGAAATCCATGGAATTACAACACAAAGAGAGAACCCTAATGTAAACCATGGACTTTGGTTGATAATGATGGTCAATACTGGTTCATCAGCAAATGCCGACGTTGATAGCAGGGGGGCTTTCAGGGGATGTGGGACAGTATATGGGAACTCTGCTTTCCATTCGATTTTGCTATGAACCTAAAGCTGCTCTAGAAAATAAGGTCTATTAATTTAACAAAGTTAAACTACATTCTAATAGAGCTGTATCAAAGAAGTCAAGATTCATATTTTAACGGGTTAAAATTATAAAACTGGCTTATCTAGATATACTCTAGAATAGATGCTTATCAAGTGCTTGCTGGAATTGCAAAATCACTCAGTAAGCTTCCTGTGGCATCATTTTATGATTTGGGCTTTTATCTTTGATAGTTTCTTCCCCATTACAGTAACTTTTCCTCCAGCTGACTTTTTCTGGCAATTAAATATGTAAAATAATTATAATTTCCCGAAGGGTAAAGCATACCAGCTTAAAGTCCTCACAATGTAGCTAACACATCCCATCCCCAGAGCAATCAGAGTTCATCAGAGCAACACTGTCATGTATGATCTAGATCTCGGAAGTAGCAGACCATTATCCCCACCATACGCTGTTCATTAGAAGTGAGTCTCCTATGGAAAACAGTATACATAGAGTTTCCTCAGAAAATTAAAATAGAACTACTATATCCACCAATTCCTCTTTTGGGTACTTATCCAAAGAAAATGAAAACATTAACTCAAAAAGATATATGCACCCCCATGTTTACTGTGGCATTATTTACAATAGCCAAGATATGGAAACAAGTGTTCATTGATGGATGAGTGGATAAAGAAAATGTGATACATATATATAAAACAATAATATTCCATCAAAAAGGATGAAATCTCACCATTTGTAACAACATGGATAGACCTTGAGGGCATTATTTTAAGTGAAGTAAGAGGAAGACAAATACTGTATGATCTCATATGTGGAATCTAAAATTAACAAACAAAACCAAGCTTATAGATACAAAGAACAGTTTGGTGGTTGCTAGAGATGAGGGTTGGGGGTGGTGAATGAAATGAGTAAAGGGAGTCAAAAGGGTATAAACGTCCAGTTATAAATAACTGGATATAATAAATGGGATGTAATGTAAAAAAAAAAAATGTATGGATGGTGATGGATGTTAGACTTGTGATAATTTTGCAATATATACAAATATCGAATTATTTTGCACACCTGAAACTAATGTTGATATGTCAATTACATCTCTGCAAAAACTTTTAAGTAAAAATAAAAACACTACCTTGTACCTGGACAAGGCGGAGTAAGAAGTAAATCTCTAAGTCCATCCTTAACTTGAGAAGGATTAAGCTCCACCTTTTAAAGTGTCAAAAAATTTGTATACATATTTTTAAACTATTACATATGCCTGGACACATCATATTCAGAATTCCAAAAACCAAAGCTAAAGAGAAAATCTTGAAAGCAGCTAGAGTAAAAAGACATTATACAGAGGAACAAAGGACACTTTTCACCAGAAACTGCAAGACAACAGTGACATCTAAAGTACTGAAGGAAGAAATTGTCAACTCAGCATTCTATACCCAGTGAAATATTTCAAAAATGAAAGTGAAATACTTTTTCAAATGAATACAAGCTGAGAGAATTTGTTATCATCAGAACTTCATTACAAGAAATGTTAAAGGAAGCTCTTCAGGAAGATGGAGTATGTATTAGAGAGACACTTGGATCTACATAAAGACATGTAGATCTCCATAAATGGTCAAAATGAAGACTCAGAGCTACCACTTCCTTTAGGCAAGCCCTGTTTTTGTATTAACAATAATGCCTACTTCTATCCACTTTTGCTTGGAAGGATCACACAGCTTTGGAGGCCCAGAGAAGAGTGTGCCGGCGGGCTCCATACTAGTAAAGACATCTTTGGGTTGGGTCTCTTCTCTGTGACCTAAGGAAACTTTGACATGTTTATTATAAAACCTTCACTAAGGGCTTGGAATTTCTTTAGATGATGGCACCTGAAATGTTACCCTTCAAGGAAGTCTCTGTTAAAGTATTAGAAGATTTGGTAATGGCAGACCCCTAGGTGACACTCTGCTCAGCACTCCTCTTCTGATAGCAATATTCTCCCAGCCATTGCCATGTGCAAACATGATTATTTGTCCTAGTGGCATGATTGAATAACTGTCACTCCCAGACATTTCAGTCCACAAACCATTTAAGGACCATTTGAGGAAAGAAAATATAAGTCCAGATTTTGTCTAAGAAGTTTTTCATTTATATATGCCTTCTAGAAAAAATAATGAAAATGCCAGTGTCAACAGGCATTGACATGTTTGAAGCAAAAAAATGATTCAAAAGAATGGGACTCTAAATGCAAAGAA